ATATATTGAAGTTATACGCCTAAGTATTTTTAACTCGTATCATTTTTAAATATTTAACATGTTAACCATATATTGCCATAGACAAAACAAGATCTAAAAAAAATTACGTCATTCGACCATGACACTTTGGTTTCGTTCGCAGAAATAACATATTATCGTAATTATTTTAAATTAATGGTTAATTATAATTTAATATCATCATATTACATTAAGACATAATATAACTATTTAATTTAAAATTGAATAAATTGAGAACGATGTAAAAACATAATATTTATCAGCTTCCCTCACCTTCGTATAGAGACGGTGACAAAATACTTAATATTCAAAAGTGTAAATACTATTCTGATAAATAAGATGCATTATTTACGAGTACAGAAGATTTTGTTTAAATAATCAAACTATTCACTTACTTGTTTGTCACCGTAAACATGAGTTTTGCAAAATAATTATGTAGGTACTATCATGATATAAACTTAATTATAACCGTAATGTAAATAAATTATGAAGAACTAATCTTAAACACGTGATAGGACTAAAATATATCCATTAATGAAATATGAAATATCATTACATCATTTCAATTTAAAAGTGGTATCTTTCCCAGACTTAGTCTCATTTTGGACGGGTGTCACGAGTGATAAAGCCGACCTCATAAATGCTATTTCACATTATAAAATAAAGTTTATCTTTTTAGTCACACTCACTCTAAAACTACTCGACAAATTTTCATACAACTTCTAGTGTGTTAACTTTGAATATTTAGATGGACACTGCACAAGTCGCACCTAATGCAAACACAAAAGCCCATTGATTTCAATAGTACATTCCACTATCACGTTTAGACATATTTGTAAAGTTCTATAAGAATTATGTACTTGTCAATTGAGATAAGTTTTGGACGGCCTTGAAATTAACAAACAAAAGAACAGAAAGAAAATAAAATATAAATCGAAAAATTTGTAAATACAATGATGTTTATTGAATTCTTATCAGAAATATTTTTTTGTAAATTATTTTTTTTTCTCGGGACGCATCTACCTACGACCATGAACGTCTTAAATTGTTTTTCCAGGGATGTCAACGCCCCAGGGCCTTGGAGTATGGTAACAAATTGCGAGAAATGACCGCCAGAGAAAGGTAGATTAGGGAGTCCGGCAGTCTAATTTTTTGCACGCAAACCCATTTGTGGCACCAACCTCACGCAGATCTTCTCACAGGAAATTGAATTTAACTTATCATTCTACTAACATTTTATTGTTGTTTGCGTATTATCAATCTTTTTTTGTTCTTCAATAAGTATGATTTAAAAAAGGTCTATTTGAGTAAGGTACTACTTTTATCACCACCAGTGTATGTACCTAAAACAATCAAAACATAAAAAATAATTTCTTTTCGTTCTTCAAATAAGATTTTGATTACCTTGTCCATTGACCTGTTGTTTACTTTGGATAGGTACTAGATAAATTCTTGGAATTCATTTCAAAGATTTTATAAGAAATAAACAAATCATTTACCTTCAAAAGAAATCATAAAACATAATTAACACAAAAGCTGTCCACTATTAATTAACAATGGAAACACAAAATACCGCAGGCGGTTAAAATATTGAAACAAAAGTTTATCTTGTTTAATGGTATAATAGTATAGATTAAGAATGCAACTTCTGTCTGAAGAAATACTTTTAGTTATTGTCCTGTTGTGTGTTCTAATGATTTATTTACAAATAGATTTTTTGAACACTTTTTCCATTGTTTTTTCTCTAGAAACTCGATTCATTTATAAACATATTTTTTGTGGTGTTTAATCCGAATTAAGTGTAGAAAGACGTCTGGAAAATCGTATATTCCACGTGGCTATTACAGTACATACATAATAATCAATTGAGACATGAGAAAATGAAATTAATAATAATTTTTAGAATATATATTTTGTATCAAAACCTTTTTAATAAAAATTAATGGTACCTATGTTTTTAAGAACCAAACACTCCAACATTTGCACTATGAATGTATTTATCATACAAAAAAATACAAAGCACCATTATTAAGTTGATTTATGACACACTTAAAATTAAATCAGTACTGTGTGGGCTTATATGACTCAGTTATAAATATAAGTGCTTTAAAAAAGGGATTTTTTAGTTGAAATATAATAATCAACTTCATCATTAAGTATAAAGTATATACTAAACAATAAAGTATACTGTTTACAAGGCTAGTGGATGATATGACTTTAAGTGCCAGCTTTATTTTTATGTCTAAACTTATTCTTTCAAATAATATAACAGCAATACTATTAGATGTAGCTATTGGTTATTGATATAAAAATTAACTCGAATTTACTTTGTTGATCAATTCGCATTGATCTTCAATTATTTGTCTCGAAGACATGAACATCCATCACACTGTAAGATATCATATATTTACCTTGTAATGAGATAAACAAAAATCCAAACTGTATTTGCCTTTCGCCTAACCGAATAATAGTACATACATGTTGCACATCTTTCATCCTTGACGAAAGGCCCTAAAACACGCTCAGAGGATAAGAATCACGAGGTTAAAAAAATTACGTTATTCTAAATTACAATCATATAATTACAAAACGATAAAAAAAACTCTTTTCCTAAATATTTCATTCAATTCTTCTGTATAACCTAATCTTAGAATTTGATATACCAATAATAATTATACTTTTCAGATGTTTTCTCAACTGAGATTTATTTGATAGAATTTAAAACTTTACATCTTCAAGTGTTGTCGTTAAATTTATTTCCAACGTAAAAATAACATACCAAATTCCAAAAAAAATTCATAAATATTTATCCTTACTAATATTATAAATGGAAAGTAATTCTGTCTATCTGTCTGTCTGTTACGCTTTCACGCCTAAACCACAAAAATTAATTTAAATAAATTTAGTGCAGAGATAGAGTTGTCCTTGGGAAAGAACATTGGATAGTTTTTATCCCAGATTTTGAAAAGTTCTCTTGGAAATGAGATATAACCGAAATCGATGCGGGCGAAGCCGCGGGCGGAAAGCTATTCTTATAATTTTCGATACAAGATTTATTATTAAAATTACTGTTACAGGAGAACAAATGTGTGATAACATACAACAATTTATTAGAACTTATATTATTTCCATTCAAGTAATAAAATTTCCTTATAAAATATTACCTAAAAAATTTGAAAAGTTTATTATATTCAACCTAATCTTTTGTAGCCGTTACATTGAATGATGAAATATTTCATATAATTTAAATGTTTACTTATAAGTAATTTATATTACACGTTGCATCATATTCTGATCTGTTTATTCAATATGATATATGGTCTTCATACATTCTTCAGATTTTACTAACTTTACCTGAATCTCCTTTTGATATAGAATTAAATATCTGAATAGCAAGCTTAAACAATCATCCGGGTTAATGTATAAGCAATTTTAAAATAATATTAGGATGTCAACTATTAACTGTAATGACTGAATTTATTTCTTACGTTGTTTATAAAGGTCATTATAATAATTGTTAAAGTATGTATACAAATAGAATTATTTTGTAGGTATGTCATTAAAGCCTTCTTCTTCAAGACAGACGAAAATTAAGTCTCAACTCCTGGCCTCAGATAGAGTTCCTACATAGATATTTTTATTTGATGTATTAATAATAATATAAATTAATCTGCCGTAGTGAGGTAAGAAAAAACTGCTTAATAAATGACAAATAAATCTCTTAAATTTCATATCTTAGATAGCCCTTATATTTTCCAAGATTCATTGCTTAGTGCTCTTCTCTAATGTTCGTACGGACCACGTGTTCAGTGATGTAATTTTGTTTTGCACATAAAAACTTTGACGATATATAAAGTGACATGGACAAATAGCTAGTATCAGTTAGTATGAAATAAAAACATCTGGTATCTACCATATTATTTCTATTAACGTGTTCTGGCATGACTTCTTGACAATTTTAAATTTATAGCCAACCTCTTCCTTCTAACACAGCTCCAAGTACTATATCAGATTGGTCAAAGGTGAATTTCATATTAAAACTTCTTAATACCTATTATTCTTAAGTTTTTCTGTTTTCATATGTATGCATATAATATTGTTTTATTTATTTTTTATTTATAATCTTAAGGGCAAACAATAAAATTGAAGTGTTAAATACTTAGTAAAATAGCAGTGTTTTATTTCTTAGGGATTTACATTATGTATTATTCTGTGTAAGATTTCGTTCGTCCAATTTTCAATTATTGAATTTAAATTGTAATTAGTATATTTACTTCTTAAATTGAATAAAAATCTGGCTAGCGTTTAGTTTGTGCAAATATTGCAGTCGTATATAAAATTTCTCTGGTATTGTTATCTTTATATAATATAAATGTTAGCTTAGAATTATATAGTGTTAGATTGGTCATAGCACGTGGTGCAATAGTAAACACCGTGAGAAATGTTAAATACATTCAAATTGATTGAATGAAGGGTTTCATTTGCATTTAACTGTTTATTGAATTGCGATACTGTTTTTCTTAAGTTATAACAGTTTATTTATACATTCAGTTCGCTTTTATTTGTTAATGATATTAGGATATTTTTATAAAAAAAAACTAATATTTGAACTTCAAGTTTACTATTAAAAAGTTTGTATAATTTCTTACTACTTTGATGATTAATTGTTCGATACCTTTGGTATTTTAAAACCTCTTAAAATATTTATATTCTGAACAGTGACTTAAACTAGAGATATAAATTAAACAACAAAATATATTTCATTATGATTTTTATTTTTTTCAATACATTAATGTCAGGTAATAAAATTTGTCCGCTCAGCGGAAAGGTACATGGACTTACTAATAAATTATCTTACACTATATCAGTCTAACAGTCGCGCCGAGCGCTGGTCGTCTTATACTAGTATCACAGATGAAAAGAGCGGTGGGTCGAGTAGCGAAGCGCACCTTCGAAGATTTCGAGGCGCGCCAGAGCGTCGGTCACTCTTCTGAAGCAGATGACAGCTGCGTGCTGCCGCCGGAGCTGAAGGAGCTGCGGTACACTTCGCTACCAGTTTCAGGTGCCGTACCACGATCTCCATTCTCAACTTCATCAACTCCCGGTGTCAACGTTCGCAGCAGATCTAAAGCGGCACGAGCACGCTGTCCATCAGCAGCCGCTGACGATGCTGCACCCGTTACGCGATCCCACGCGCTCTTTTCTGGTAGAAACATACGCCGTGCTTCACGCTGTACCCGTCGTGAACGCAGAGCGAAAAGGAAAGGAGATACCGCTGAAGCGAGCAATAGTAAAGCAAGCGCTGGAGTTCGAACGCTCACTGCTAATCCTGGCACTACGGCCGACACAAAAGCAGCCACTGCGTGTGGCAAATGCAACATCACTAGCGCACCCGTCAATAGTCCAACTCGGGCAGCACGAGATTCTTCCCTATATCTAAATAAAGAAGCGTTAGATATTCTACACCTAATAGACGTTATTCTTGAACAATTCGGTGTTGCAATCGGTCGAGATTGAACAGATAATAATGGCGCAGCAAGAGACGGCGCGGAGCTAACCGATGGTAAACATTTTCTTAGATCCTCACTGGATTTGCCCTCTTTCCTTGCATTTCGTAAACTCGCCACGGAGGGGCATCGGGCAGGTCGTTCAGGAGGAAGCAGAAACGGTCCAAATTTGCGGTTACTTTCAGCGACGTTGTCAGGAACATCAATTTTTAAAGTAAGACCTTCACCTTCTTCCACCAAGTCTGGTAAATTGATTGGCGGTTCGTGAAGTTGTAGAGCACTGGCCCCATGTGCCCTCGCTCTTAAGCCAGAAGACCGAGCCGCACGGTATATTCTTGTGTACATGACGCAAACTGTTGCCACTGGAGGGAGAACACCAGCGATGAAGTACACGACATAGTAAGAGAGTTCAACTTTTTGCACAATTAGTTCTTGCGGATAATAATGGTGGAATACTGCAATGGTAGCACGAATCGTTGCTGCTAAAGCTGCAGCGAGCCAAGTAGCTGCGCATAGAGCTGCTGGGCGGCGTTGGAGCAGGCGTGTGTGGCACCGGAGAGGGTCAGTGACAGCATGATGTTGGTCGAGAGCAATCAACATGACTGCCAAGAGCGCAGCCAAACTGCAGGCTGAAGCCGCAACATCACCAGCTTCCACCCAATTGTCTCCCTCCCTTGCAAAGTACTCGCCAAACAGCGCGGGCGCAAGAAGGGAGGTCGTCACCAAATTTGTCGCCAGTAGATTTATGACGAACCTAGAACAAAAAGAAATAGATGTTAATAAAAAAATCCAAAAATTTTAAGCTCAGAATCAGAGGAACATTTGTAACATTCGCTAAAATATGTGTATATCTTAACTGTTTATTTAAATTCCAGCTATGATTAATGCTCGAAAGCAAAACAGTGCAACCTGTCCTCGTATATTTAGTGATAAGTATCAACTTCTGAGTTTATGAAAAGTGTTCGACCAAGTCCTAAATCTATTGATTACCAAAAATTGAAGTATGTAAACTCTTAGAACGAATTACAATGCATCATAAGACTTGTGACGGTCCTTTGAGGTTACAACGATATTTGTTTACAAGCCCATGTCTACCTTGACACGAAGTTATAGAGTATACTTTGCATCATCGGTCGATATTCCCATATTTTTTGTAACTTAGATATGTCCGTAGATAATAAACGCCTAACGTGCGGAGGACTTTCGTAAAGCGTTGCAGAACGACCGAGTTACACTATTCACGTGCTATTTACCATTCCGGTCTCAATTACAAATGTTGGCCTCAAAACTTATGCCCGGGTCAGGAGAATATAACCATTCAGAAAATTAAACAACAAACTTACCATTAGAACAATGTATATTGTATTCAAACCCGAATCTATATATGAAAATGAAATAACATGTCCGCTCTATTAGGTTTCGAAAACGATTCTAACATAATGTATATAAACATTTCGACCTATCCGTCATAAAATATGAATGTAACAAATTATTAATTATATTAAGCAATTGTTCCATTACAAACATTATCAATTATTTTTATATTCGAATTTCAAGGCAAGGTTATTTAAAGAATTAAAGCAAACATTACCTCTCGAGTGCTGACGGACAAACAACTGGCAATCAGATAGTTACATTTAAAATCATGATCACAATTAACAATAACTATAAAACAAATATATTATGTAAATTTGACGCTTCTTTTTAGGATTTGAATTTTTCTTTGAAGATTCTGTCGCCGGTTTGCCAGTGACTGATCTGCCAGTCTTATTTATGCCCATAGTAACACATTGCTATAATAATGTTCCAGAATGTTCCCATTAGCATATGTAGGATAAACTGCCCTTGCAGCCCTTGTGCCCTTCATGATATGCTGACATTGTTAACCCAAGACCTTCCAACATGTCAGATTTGAAAAGCAAATTTTTCCTTTAATATTGCATAAATGCAACATGCATATATTTCTTATATAGGCGGAATCACTCTCGAATGACTGAATAAATCTGTTGCCAAGGATGCGGCTACTTTAGTTTCAATCAAAAGATGACTTCAAACGAACCAACATTACTTTATGAATTATTTACACAAGTCTATAGTTATTAAAATTAATACTCTCATAAATATTAACTCATATAACACAAATGTGGTTGTTTTAACGAAAATGCGGCTGCAACGAAATATGTACAAGCAATTAAATCTATGTCAAGGACGGCCATAATATCCCACGATGTTGCATGTTAGTTTGTCTGTCTATGTTTTTATATTTACATTATATATTTTGAGTTTTCATAGCGTTGCGAAAATATAAAGTAGGTATGCTTTTTATTTTTATATAAACACGTTCTTAAGCGGAATTTGATGATTATAATAGAATAGAAAAATAAGTTTTTCGCCACATGTCCAATTTGACCGGAAGATGATTTTGCCGTATTCCGAAGGTGAACAAACAAATCTATAAAAAATAAGAACGTCATCACTAGAACCAGAAAGTATGTCAAATATAATTCCAGTAAATTAAGATGCAAAAAAAAATTTTCCCTACAAATTTTATAGCCCATGAATCAATCCGATCGCTATTTAAGTCAATGTCATATAATTATATTTCTTTAATATAGATAATAAAAATAATACTTATGAGCAATTTCTTACTGATTTACTTAGAATGAATATGTCGGAACGCAGCATGTTTATGTTATAACCATGTAAAAAATATGAATTCTTTAATTATGTATTATTATAATTAACAAATAACAATCAAGGTCGGGGAAACCCCGATACGTATTATGGAGTATCATTCTAAATGTACCAAATAATTGAGTTTTTTATTATAAATCCGATCACCTTGAAGCAAATGTCAAAGAGCAAAGTCACCACAGATTTAGTTAAATTGAACCAAAATATAAACATGTCGGGGAAATTTCCTAAGCAGATACTACAGCTGATTACAATATTTACATACATATACTGCAATATAACTCGAGTCGAATGGCCCGATGTTTAAATTATTCCACTTTAAAATTACATATGATAATCAATTCCTATACGTATTTATAACATCGACAATTAGAACAAAATAAATTCTGAGAAATTGTTATTTATGTTTTGAGAGACTTAAAAAAAACGGGATTTTTTATTTAGATTGGAAGATTTCGATTGCGTCCACAGTAAACTTATTGTTTCCTCAATAAATCGTTTTACAATTTTTTTCATATTCGACTTTGAGTTGAAAGCCAACCTATTTAGATTGAAGTCGGTTAAAATTTGTTTTAATATCACAATTGTAACGTTTATAGGCGCCCTAGTTTCGTTTCGTTTTATCTAAATATACTTAAGTTGAGGCCATTAACTGTATGCAGCTGTAACATACATAATACACTAGTTTAATCATGAAAATTGTATCTCACATTTGTATACATTTATCAAACATATCGATTACTATTAAGGTCGTAATAGAAAGCCTGTATAGAGAACGTAAAAAAGACAAATTCGTATTTAATGTTATTTTATCGATTATTTTAGGAGAGCTGAGCTGTTAGTAACAAGTAAAGCGGATATAGATATACACTTGATCAACGTCTACCTACATACCTACATGCTATTCTAATATGTAATATGAAAATCTTTATTCGTCTATTTATGAGTCGGCTTGTATATATCATTCATTATTCAGGTATTACATAATATAAATACAAGTACACATTAAGCTACAGAACTTTAAACTTAATGACGTCGGAATGTTTTGTTTCTGTAATAAATCGAATATGATTGTACGAATATTGTTGTTTCATTGCTTTTGAACGGTTGTGGTCATTGTAATAAAAGACAAAGAATCCATTGTTCCAATGACATAAATATTAAAACAAAATACATTTTAATTGTTGTCGGAACTGCAATTAATATTTAACGAAAAAAAAATATATACGCTTAGTTTAAATTGTTACAAATTAATTATAAAAGTCAAGGATAATGTTTATATTTATACAGTCGTAATCAGCCATCAAAAGAGACCTCTAAAAGCACACTTTAAACATAAAAGGATGGTCAGAAAACGGCTAATGATTCATTGTTATATTTCGGCTTTGAAAATTTTCCGTTACAACTCGCTTAGATAAACTTACACAAGTGCAGAGAAAGGGGATTCTTATAAACTGGTTTCAAACCAGCCTGGATAGAATGTTGCGCATTTGCTTGTTTTATTTTGCTGTGAAGATACATAATGAAATAATAAATTGTTTTTTATGTCTAAATTGGTTTAACGTACTATTACGCCTGTGGTAGAAATCAATCTATGAAGAACAATTTATATATCTGGCAGTTATAATGCAAATGAATATTATTATAATAGCCTTTTATATTTTTTCTGTAACTATTTTTCACGTCGTTCAAATTCCATCAAGATAAGCTAAGCAGATGTGAAGTTATAACAGAAGTTCAAACTCGTTATTTACGCAAGCAAAGGTTATTTACGACGTACGCAAGCAAAGGTTGTGTACATATAGAGGCATAGGATGTAGGAAGCAATCACTAATTACTTCATTCGGTTTCTTCCGGTAATTCCCGATAAACAAAAGTCGTGGCATTTTAATTTTAAAATACCTAATACATAGAATAGTGTTAACAACGTACTTTGTTACTTAATATTATATTGTTAACTTTAGAATTATTTATTCTATTATTTATACTATACTTCCTACACATGAACCGGATTTACATTTACAAATGTACCACTAATTAATTATTGAACGTATAAAATTACTAAAGAGTGCATTACCCATACATTGTAATTATAATTGTCATTACGAGAATAAAATATGAAATGTTTTGATATGATATTGTATGAGTTAAAATATCTAAGCCTAAGTTGCAACCGATCTCAAAGTTTCTCCAACTTTCGCATTTCCCTCTGCATCACATTGGGAACAATTTCACAAATTTACAAGAGAGATTAATATTCACTTCAATAAATAATATTGAAAACAAGTAGGTCGTTTACTAGGACTGCTATCATTGAAGACGTGAATTTTATGTAAATTTTTAAAATGTTGAACCTATGTTAGTATAAGTCATTATGGTAAACATATTTCAATCTTCAGTATGATTAATAAAGTATTGTCCCAAACAAAAAACAATACAGCCCTTCGTGAAGCTTCCTTGTATCGTGAATAAAATAAATTTATGATTTACTATCAGTGTTTTCGGCTCTTTGTTTTTTTATTGTAAGAACCATCCGCTTTGAATACCAATCGTCTGCGGGATGCAACGACCTTCCTCGTTGATAGAAGTTGAATAATGTATGGATTATTACTCGATTATTTTAAAAATACGTTTCGCATAACTTAGTCCCGCAGGAGACAGACGAGTTCCATTTTAATTAAATCATCCCCCCTCGATGTATTTTTAAGAATTATTCTTTCAGTAATAGTAAATTATTTACTTCTAAACATTACATAAATAGTGGTTACGTAAATCATTTGTGGACAATATTTCAAAACCCCGCGGTAATTCTTGCGAACTCTATGACGTCATCCAATTAACAATTGTCGTTTATGACGCGACACTTTAAACTGTTCTTCATATAAATCTTGGCAGGACATGGACGTTTCTTTCAATGTATTAAATGTATAATAATTTTTATTATGATTGTGTTGGCATCGTCGTAATAATGAATGCCAGGAATGTTGAAGGGCGTAGAATATTTTGATAATTCAATGAAGCCATGCTGGTCAGTCAGCGCAAGTCATTAGCGTAGACATT